TCGCCACCTCCAGGCAGGTTTCTTGGCCTCTGCTCTTTGTTATCAAAGAGCAGTAATGACAGTGTGTCCTATTCATGGTTACATGTTCGTGTACTCAATAAATCTTAAAGTTTCACTTTCTTATGTGTTAATTCTATAATGCATAATATGAAAAATGATTACTTTTATAATTTAATATAGTTTAAATAAATAAATAACTACTTCTAAATTAACAGCAATTAAACTAATAAAACTTTTAGCAGGCATTTTTCTTATTCTAAGTTCCCTAAATGTTAACATTCAATTACTCTGATTTTAGGCTACTATCCTCTGCTAGTGTTTCCATCCTCCTAAATATCCAATAACTTTTGGAATTATATGGAGCATAGGTAAAATAGATAAGGAGGAAAAGCAAATATCAAAACATGGGCATCAATGATTTTATTTGTAAAACTATACAAACATAAATATGTGTGTTTTAAAATATATATATATTTTTTGAAAGTCCAACTTGATGTACATCAAACTGTTAACATTAGCTACTTGTGAAGAGTGAGACCTGGAATAGTAAGATGAATGTCACTTTGTATTTTATGTATTTCTAGTTTGTATTTTTATCATAAGCATGTATTCATTTTATAATATAAACACATATAAGGAAAAGGAAAGATTTCCCAACAAACTTTTTAAGACTGAATATTAAGAACGTAAAAATCAAATTCACAGATGGAATGCTTAATATTAGAAAACATTTCTCTTTTAAATTTTTTTTTTAACGTTTTTATTTATTTTTCGGACAGAGAGAGACAGAGCATGAACGGGGGAGGGGCAGAGAGAGAGGGAGACACAGAATCGGAAACAGGCTCCAGGCTCTTAGCCATCAGCCCAGAGCCCGACGCGGGGCTCGAACTCACGGACGGCGAGATCGTGACCTGGCTGAAGTCGGACGCTTAACCGACTGCGCCACCCAGGCGCCCCAAAACATTTCTCTTTTAAATATACTTATTTTATTTAGAAAATGACAAAGGTGCTTACATCATGCTAGCTACTTCTCTGAAAAAGAACCCAATTGTATTCCCACTCATGGAATGCTCTGGTTTCATCTCTGGTCGTTCTCCCAGACTCCTGAACCAATTCCTGCTCTAACTGAGCACCTCAACAATGAATCGATCAAACCGGATCCCACCATTACTGTGGTTTCCCAGCACAGGAATCTGTCTTTTTGCACTAGGTCTTAGTAAAAGTCTTTCTTTCTTTCATCCATCCATCCATCCATCCATCCACCCATCCATCCATCCAGTAAGTATTTATTCAATGTCTACAATATGCCAGGTACTGAGTAAAGTCCTGGGTACACATAGATTTAAAAAAAAAAAAAAAATACTGGTCACAGACTCCGGGAGCTTATCAGAGGAAAAGCAGTTCTAACACATAGCAATAACTATAACGAATTCCTGTGCAAAGTGTAGTAAAAGCATAGAACTATAATCCAAGCCTGGCTGGAACAAAATGAAGAAAAAACCTACACAGATCTCCCTAAACCACCTTGAGTAGTCCCTTCCTCCTTGACACTTTCTTCTTTCCTCTCAACTGTAAAATGTCACTCTCCCCTCTTTAAAAATGCTGCTTAATATTTACCTCCCACTGCTCCCCCCCACCAAAATACCACTTGTTCCTAAATGCCATTTAACGCTTAAAAAAAAAAACAACCAAATCTGTAAAACTCAAAACCAAGCAAGGAAAGAAGAACACTCACTGAATGCCAGCTCTACATAAGTACCAGAGAGAGCAGGTACTTCAATCCTTTCTCACTGTGCAGAGCTCTGGTCGTCTCTACTAATGTGCTTATTTATCATTTGCATTCTAATCTGCTTCCCACTTGAAACTGTGCATTTTTCCAAGACAAAATCTTAGCCTGCTACTGCTTTATAATGTATCATAATAATATCCATGGTGACTAGATATACATCCCTAGGTTAGAAGGTGGGGGTGGGTAATGGTGGGAAGTAGAGGAATTTCTTCAGAATTATGATTTGTTGTTTTGTTTCAGATTTCTGTTGTTTTAAATGAATTTCAATAGCTGACTGGGGCCATTGGATCAAATACAATGTAAATTTCCTACATTGTCTACTTAAGGTTGGGATGATGGTTTAAAAAAAAAATAAAAGCTTGGAATAAATAAACAATTTTATCTCCAGCAACCTCAGAGAACTGGAAGGAAAGAAGCAAACTGCAAATAAGTTTTAGATGAATAATGTTCTAAGAAACTAGGCAATTCCCTAGAGAGACATTAAGTATATACACACACTATATCTCTTAAAGAAAACATGGATCAAGAAAAACAAAAAAGAGGGACTGTTCAAAATTAAAAGAGAATAAAGAATCAAATGCAATGCATGAAACCTGACTGAATCCTAGATTCATAAATTTAGGAAAAAGTTTTAGGGACAAATGGGGAGATCTCAATAAGGACCATTATATTAAACATATTTTTAAATAATGTTAATTTTCTCATTTGTGATATTGATATTATGAACATGCAAGAAATTATCCACGTTCCCATGTAAGATACGCATACTAAAAATTGTATATTATAATCTCTCCAGTACAGTTTCAAATGATTTTAAAAATATATAATATATAAAGAGAGAAAAAGTGGCAAAATTTCAACAGTGAGTGAATATATAAGAAAGGTAATATGGGTGCACACTGCCTATATCTTCCACTGTTCTACAGCACTCAACATTTTCATTATGAAATGCTGATGGAACAGGAAGATAGTGTGAGGGGAGGCCAGCTAGACTGAAACATAAGGAGTATAAGCAGCACTGGTCTCAGCAAATGTGAAAACCAGCTGTGTGATCATGGGCAGGTCACAGAACCTCTCTAGGTCTCCGCTGAAAGAGGAGGAAGTAGATGATCTTTAAGATCCTTCCATCTACATATTTCCCATATGCTACAACTTTTCTCAGCTCTAGAACTCAAAGGGTAACCATATGCAAAGTAGAAAACCTCAATGGTCTATTGTAAGGATAAAATAAAGTATTTAAAACAGCTAGCCAAAAGCCTTTCACATAAAACAGAAACAATAAATAGTAATTCCTCTCTTTCAAAATATATTAAAAAGTCTTTACAAAAAACAAAAAAGACAGAACTACTAATAAAAGAAATAAATAAAATAAAAACAAAAACTCATATAAATTAAATTTCAGGGGGAAAAGCAAAACAAAGTATTAAGCAGTACATATTACAAATTTGCCAGATGGTTTTATTTCCAGCACTAACATTATTTCTAACATTACAATTAATTTCCCTTTCAGTGAAAGAACCAATCTTTGACATAATGGTAAAGATAGTTATCTAAAAGATTTCTGGACAAGATGCCAGCATCCACCCAGTTGCTCAAAACCCAAAAATCTTGGAGTCATCTTCAGAATGTTCTGTTTCCACACCCAAACTATTCAAAGTCCCATACATTCTGATTCAGATCCATTTCAAATCCATCCATCTCTCTGTCTCATGCTGCTAGCACCTTATCAGGCCACTACTATTCACCTCAGCAACTAAAACTGCCAGCTTTCACTTTCACCAGGCCGGCCCATTCCTCACACAGCAGCTCAAATGATGATATCATTTAAAATAAAATACAAACTTCTTTCCAAACCCTTCAAAGCCCTGCATATTTCTATAACCTCTTCCTACCCATCTCTGCCTCCCTCACTAATTCAGCCACACTGGGGTTTTTTCTGTTCCTCAAACTCACCAATTCTCCTGCTCCAAAGTCTTTGTACCCACTAATCCCTTATTCCCTCCATCACCTCCAGCTTTACTGAGATATTATTGACATATAACATGTAAGTTGAAGATGTACAATGTGATGATTACATATATGTATAAAGTCCAAAATAATTGCTACAATAAAGTTAGTTAACATCTCCATCTCTTCACATAATTATGAGTGTGTGTGTGTGTGTGTGTGTGTGTGGTGATAACATTTAAGACCGACTCTTAACAAATTTCAAGCATATAATACAGTATTGTTAATTATACTCACCATGTTGTACATTATATCCCCAGATCTTATTTATCTTATAGCTGAGAGTTTGTACCATTTGACCAGCATCTCCCCATTGCCCCTATTCCTCAACTCTTGGCGACCACCATTCTAACTCTATTTATATGAGTTTAGGCTTTTTAAGATTTCACATATAAGTGAGAACATACCATATTTCCTTTCTCTGCCTGACATTTCACTTCGCTATTCCTTCTCATGAGAATGCTTTCCACATCAAAAACACCATACACATACACACACACCACCTACTCTGGAAATAGTTCCTTCTCATATACAGGTGAATCTTAAACATCAACTCCTTTTGTGACCACCCTATCTAAGGCAGCTCCTACTTCCTTATCTCCAAATTATCTGATTTTTGCTTTCCTTCAAAAAAGTGTATTACAATTAATTTTTATTTTGTCAGTTCATTTTTAAGCCTGTCCCCACTCCTTTAAAATATAAGCTATAAGGATGGAATATGCAGCTTATTCATCATCATATCCACAGAAGCAGCAACCTGTCTACTACTTAACAGAAGCCTGTCAATGTACATCAAACAAATGAATGAAATAATAAATGAATATAGGACTGTGTTAAACAATGGAATTAATAATGCTATTAATAGAAATACAGAAACCAGAAGGAAGAGCAACTGTTTGAGAAGAAAATAAGATATATTGAGCTTGGTGAGGTGCTTGAAAATATAGGACTAGTGGACATACAGGCTGCAAAAAGATATAGACTGGGATTCTGCTGATTGTAAATGTTAGTTTAAAAAAATAATAATTATATCACAAATGAGATAAAATTCTGTAGGATAAATGACAAGCAAAAAACAACATAAATATAAAATGATTGCCTAGGTACAATAATCTAACACAAATACTACAAAACCAAGACAAATCAAAACTGTTTCACAGTTTCAGTTTTTAGCAATTCACTAAGAACAGTAAAGTACTCCTACCTTACTACTATTCATTGCTGGTCATATCTTAGCTAAAGTAGCAGGTCCATGTTGAAGGATTACACATTAGGGATGAGGAACACACTTGAGAAAATGTGCAGTGAAGTCTCACGGGAATGACCATAAGTCTGGCCAGAAAACATGAGCTGCAAGAAGAAATTCAAGGAGTCAGAAATGTTAACTACAGAGAAAAAGGTAAAAATGTACACATAGAGTATAGTAGGCTACTATTGGAATTTAATTGTGACAGTGTATCAGAGTCAGTCCATTAAGAATGCTATACTCACCTAGCTTATCTACCCTGTTTACTCTCCCCCCTTTCCATAACCTTTTCAATGAGTAACGCCTTACTTTCTCCTGTAACCTATTCCCTCAGTTTTCAATAGGTAATTCATGTTTTTCTCCATTTTTACAGCATAAAACTAATTTCAAGTTTGAAGCATGTCAAAAGAAGCAAGGTTCTCAAAACTAGAACTGGGAAATCTAATTTGCACATAACGAGAGTATTATTACATCCCTCTTCTTCCATTAAACTGTGACAAGATCGGGGACAGGGATTATTATCTTAATACAGCCATCATCCTACATAATACATGGAACACTTGAGCCACCAAACAAGCGAGTACTGAATCAATGAAATTCCAAACTAAATTATGGCTTTCCCTGACTTCTGCACTTTGGTGTAATGTGAGGCTTTGACAAGAGTTTCTACATTAAATGATAGAATTCATGACTTCAAATGATACTTAAATGAAAATTTTAATCATGCTTCTCTTTTATACTGCTATCAATAGCATATCTTCAATTAAACCCCTTAGACACAGTAAACAGTGTTACTTATAAATATTTCCAAAGAACAAAATGTATGAGTGTATACTTAAATGTACATATTATATATGTTATCTAAATTCCACTCCAGAGACAGACTGCAAAATTACTGGACAATCCACTTAATTTGAATTTTTTTTAGCCACTTCTCAATCAGCAAAGATAGTTGAGAATTACCCAGAATTTCATGATTTGGTCTTTCACTATAATATAGAAACAGTTATTTTCAAAGATGTAAGGACAAGAAAGACAACTATTCAACTAAGGTTTCATGTCCAACACGCAGCAGTATCAAGTGTCCTGTTCAAGGAAGCTAGTCAAAGCAGCCACATGTTATTTATGTCTCACTCTCCAACTCAACTCATGTCTATAATTTTTATTTTTCAATGAAAAAAAAAACCTATTTTCCAGTTGATATTGAAATCATTTTGATTAAAAAATAAGTAACAACTTCCTTCGTAGCATTTCTAAATACAACATTTCTTTCTTTGAACTTACTATAAACCTATGAACAAAAAGTATATTCCTTGTGTTACTTCTAAGATATTACCATCCTCATCAGAACTCAGCAAAGATTTCTATAGACAAGTTTGTGGCGCCTGGGTGGCTCAGTCAGTTAAGTGTCTTCACTCCTGATTTCAGCTCAGATCATGATCTCATGGTTTGTGACTTCAAGCCCCACATGGGGCTCTGTGCTGATAGCACAGAGCTTGCTTGGGATTCTGTCTCCTTCTCTCTCTCTCAAAATAAATAGAAATAAACTTTTAAAAAAAGATTTCTATAGACACGTTGAAAATGCACAATTACTACTTTGTGGTGTACCTTAATCTTCCTCACCAACTTCCCCAACTACATAGGCCACCATCTTTAACTCACAATCATAGTAAAAATATAGTTTCTATTCCTTAAATAGGCTTCTCTTCATGACTAGGACTACAGTGAGGTATGAGGGGTGTCTAGGGTGCACGATCAATGGAGACTTTCACTCTCAGGGTCATACAAGAGCCACCCTGTAGCTGCATGACAATGAAAGCCAGTACCTTCTTAAATTTTCTGTCTTAGGCATCTAAATAGGTATGGCAGTAATGCCTATATATAAGATTCTAAATTGTTTTTTAATGAGTTTGAGTTGCATGTGCATACAAGTGACAGACTTATGTTGTTTTTTACTCCCCTTCTTTCGGTAGCAGCATCTCAATTTTCTTCTGTTGAACTACCCTTCTCTTATTTTCAATCCATGTAGTTTGAGTGACACTAATCATTCCCACTCTCAGATTCCTAAAATAAGCACAAAGTTCCTAGAATACGTGCATAACCCAGGCCTGGAAAGTCAGCATATTTCCTTCCCCAAGCAGTAGTTCAGGAATGGGTACATGACCCAATTAGGCAACTAAAACTCCCAAAAATTTTGCCAGAACTAATTAGAAAGTTCTCTTTTGGCTGAGGTTGCTGAACTGAAAGAACACAGTAAGTACCCACTCACCAGAGAGCCAACCCAGAGAAGACAAAAGCCAAGAGACAGAAAGAGAATGAAAGTTCTGAAAATATTTTGTCCCTAAATCTAATTACACACACCTTTGTTCTGGTGAATTCAGATGTGAATAGATGTAGCTGCTAGAACTTTAGAATTACTGTTGAGAAACAATTCTCTCTGGATTTCTCATGTTCCTGCGCAATCAGAGACTTCTGAGCAAAAGGTACTACAGGGGGGCGCCTGGGTGGCGCAGTCGGTTAGGCGTCCGACTTCAGCCAGGTCACGATCTCGCGGTCCGGGAGTTCGAGCCCCGCGTCGGGCTCTGGGCTGATGGCTC